CCAATCAGGATTTTTAGACATTTATTCAGGGCCTGAATTTCATTTTTGAAAATGGGGGGAATTCCCCTCTTAGGTGACTCTTGTGAGAGGGGAAGCAGCACGGACTGTGCTTTCACCCAGGAGTCCGCTACTGATCCGTGGCTGTTTACTACAAACACAACATTTATCCATTATTTTGAATTCAAATCCAAACATTGTCAGACTTTAATAATATGCATTTATGGTGCAATTACTACATTTTTGTGTCAATCCTCATATTTACTGCAAACAATGCGCTGTTACTTTAATTCAGCGCTTGCAGCGCAGCAAGACTCGATTCGGAAACGATCTCTGCACTGCTGCAGACGCTCCGCTCCTGAACGCACTGCCAGACCGCAACCGTGTGCAGTGTGCACACTTTATTAATCCGTTAACATGAGCGCAGAAAAAATATGCACCACATTCGCACTGCAAACGGAGTAATGTGAACCTGGCATTATGTACCTTCAATGTTGAAATATGGTTGAAATAAGGTCAGTTGTTGTTTAAACGTTGAAACAACGTTGATACAACGTTTAATGCTAAACGGTTGAAAACCAGCCGGCACATGACCAACCTTCAACATTGAAATATGGTTGAAATAATGACAGTTGTTGTTTCAACGTTGAAAATGTTTACTGCTAAATTGTTGAAAAAGGTTAACAAAACTTGTAAATCAACGTTGATTTTTTTTACAAGATCTGTATGTTGAATCAACTTAAAGGTGCAATAGGTGATTGTCTTCAGAAACATTTTTTGTTATGCTGGTTGAAAGTCTCTTCACATCCCCATAGTAATCATTAAGTTAAGTGGTCTAAATGTATTTATATATTCTGTGGAAGGCATAGATAGGACCAAGAAATGTTCGTCCAATCAAAACGCTCGGTCCTAGCATTTTAATTGACTTTCCTACCTGCCTGTCAACGTATGTATTTGCATACCTCTGCGCACCCGGTTCGCGCAGACAGGATACGTCATCAGCACGTTCACGCACGCTGTGCAGAGACAGAGCAATAATGGCAGACAAACATCAACAACCTGATCTTCCTTCCTGGTATTGTAGTACTTTTAAAGTTTTCTCACCGGTGAATCACTAATAGTAGTAAGCCATTTCTCTGTGAATATATATCCTTACAAGTACAATTTTAGCTGTATTATTTGGGTGCCCTTCAAAAACTGCTCTTGAGAAACTGTTTATTGCCTACTGTTAGATGAAATTTACGCCCCTGAAATCAGCCTATGTAACCTATCCCAGCCGACACATGACCGACCTTCAACGTTGAAATATGGTTGAAATAAGATCAGTTGTTGTTTCATCGTTGAAACAACGTTGATAAAACGTTTAATGCTGAACGGTTGAAAACCAGCCGGCACATGACCGACCTTCAACGTTGAAATATGGTTGAAATAATGACAGTTGTGATTTCAACATTAAAACAACGTGCTAAATGGTTGAAAAAGGTTAACAAAAACACTTATAAATCAACATTGATTTTTATTTACAAGATCTGCACGTTGAATCAACTTAATATCTTCAACAGAATTACAAAAGAAATTTCTGCCTTTTAAATTATTATTAAGATTATTATTATTATTTTATTAGCATTTTACAATATTTTGATCATGAAACCTATTCTAAAATCTAAAGGTATATGTTAAATATTATCCTCATTAACAACAATAAAGCTAAATACATTTCGCAGCGTTACCACGCTGAAAAAATTTCTATTGGTTGTTTTACCTTATTGCTTTGATCATGATTGGTTAATCTGGCTGTCATCCAGGAAACTGGCCAATGAAACTGTTTGTGCCTTTCTAAAAGTGAAAATATGACCGTTATTATCGTCTTTCTGAGTGAGGCGGCTGACTATGAGCTGCTGCTCGTTGAAACTGCTCGGTCGGTCACGAATTATTTTATATTTGCCTGTTAAATTTTTCTTTTGAGAGAATTTGAGTCGTGACATGTCGACGGAGAACAAAAACTGGAATGTGAACACAAGAAGGGTCAGGTGTGATCTGCAAGGTCCTGCAAACATACTGACAAAATGAGGTAAGAAAATCGCTATCTTTATTACCTTTCAAAAATAGTAAAGTATAACGTTACCAGAGTTTACAAATGGGTAAAGGACATGTAACCTGCAGAAGATAAATACCTGTGTGTGTGTATTTTTGTATTGCTTTATCATAGATGCTAAAGTTAGATGCTCATCTGATGTTGTTGTGTTGCTGGTAAGTTATGTGTTAAAGGGGTCATATGATGTTGCTAAAAAGAACATTATTTGGTGTATTTGGTGTAATGAAATGTGTTTAT